GTAGGTAGTTGGATTCCTACAAGGTTGTGGCTTTTGTCTGTTGAGTGTGACAACATAAAAGGGTTGGGAAACTAGGGTGCTGGCAAAATTGTGGGTGAAGTGCTGGACCTGGAATCTAATCTGTTTAGGAAGGGAGGTGTAGCTTGCAGGTAGAGGATGAATGAGTTCTGGAGATCTACTGCACCTCGTAGTGATTATAGTCAACCACTTGGTACTGTATGCCTCAAAGTTGCTAAAAGATTAGATCTTAAATGTTCTCTTTACCAAGAAGAGATGGTAATTGTGTGATGGGATAGTTAACTCTTTGGTAATCATATTGCAGTATGTAAATTTCAAATCACATCCTATAACTAAAACTTATACAATAACTTACACAATGTTATAGGTCATTATATCCATAAAAAGAGGAGAGGTACCACAAACTCATGATATTTCATCTTGAACTCCTCCTCTCCCTTATGAACCTTCTCCTTCAAGGACTTCAAAGTGTCTGGGATTTTAATTACTTACCAGCTAGTAAATTAGCCTGTTACTGTTTCATGGACGCTAGCAGATGACGTGAGACTCCTTGGTCAGCCCAGCAAGTAGCCTGTCCTGGTGTTGGTTTGTGCTGATTCCCCCATGTTCCTCAGTTCCTATGGGGTTAACACAGGTGGGCCTAGATAGATGCCACACATACATTGGATTTGTGTCACAGCCCAGAAACACTGAGCTTGGGGAATGTACCACTTTTATAATAAGTGGAAGCAAGCTTTGCTCTGTCTTGGCAGGGAGACATTGTCTCATCTCTCAAGGTTGCTTGCTCCAAATACAACCCTGAGAAACGGCCCAGGTGAGCGTGATGAGGGCCTTATATTTTGGCAGGCCCCGGAAAAATGTATAGGGGTATTCAGGACCCATGGCCTCTCCCAAAAGTAACCCATCCAGTAGTGGTGGTGAGGGAACGGCTTTCTGTGTGCTGTTTCTGTTCATGGTACTCCATCCGTTTCGGCACCCATGCTGGAAAATCTCCATTTGGTACAGATCCTAGTATATCCTGAGTAGCTCTTGCTAGCCGTGTTTCCTGAAACTGGATTTGCCTCTTGGTGGGAGTTGAGCCAAAAGACACAACCAAGCCAAAGAAAAGGAAAAGGAAGGGTTTTACTTGCAGTAAGTAAAGGAGAACCGTGGGTTTCCCCCTCCCCCCAAAAGCAGTGTCTCCCCGAAGGGCAAAATCGGGGACCTTTGAAGCTTAGGATGCGTCTGTACTCATGAAGGGGCCTGGGCGGTGGGGCAGAAGTCGTCCTAAGGTGACGGACTCCAGGTCAAAGTCCCGGGGAGCTGCAAAAGCAGAGGCCAGATCATCAATTCTGTGGCTCGGGTGGGACTGGTATCTGAGTGCTCAGAGGGATTTAGATCCTGCAGAGATAACTCAAGAGTGTGGGTCAGGTCAGTCTCCTGGCCTGATAGTGGCTGTTTGTTCTCACATTCTTTCCCAAGATGTCTGGGGGCCCGAAATGACTTCTCAAGAAAGCTAGGTCTACTGGCCTTTCTTCGGGGACCCCTACCCTTTCTGCTTACAGTTGCAGAGAAGCTCCGCTTTAGAGAGTCAGTTGTATGCAGGTGGCTATTGGGGTGGGAAGGCAGTAGTGGGTGGGTAAGTGGTGGTTTTGAACACCCTGAAACTAATGAGACCTGTGATGGCCCCTTGATACTCCTTTTTTAGGTACATTAGCAACTCAGTAAGAGCTTTACATCAGTTTTGCATGCCTGGGATTTTTTTTGGAACTCAGAAAATAAAGCAGCATCAGAACCAGAGTTTTTAGGATTTGGGGGCCAGTGATAGCCTCGGTATGGTCCAGCAAGGGTAATTAAGGTTGTGAATTTAAAGAACCTAGAATGCTATTTATCTTCAGTTAGGCAGAATGATCTTCCAGATTGGCAGTAATCTAACCAGCCTGGTACTCCCTGAGGAACATACATGTTAAACAGAACTTCATCAAAAAATGGTTAAGCCTTATAATGATCAAAATTTGCTGGAAATTTAGATAAATGGAGAGCTATATTATAGTAGTAAATTGGACATGGAATATTAGAATGATGTCAGTTCTTACTTACGGTTTAATGCCTTTCCAAGCAATCCTAATAGATTAACTTGTTAATTTGACAAAATAAAGTTAACCCTAATAAACGGATACTTGTACTACAGGTTGAAGTGAATGCAGGATGACACCAGAAACAGATTTTCTTTTTTTTTTTCCTAAAGATTTTATTTATTTTTTAACAAAGAGACAACGAGAGAGGGAACTCGAGCAGGGGGAGTGGGAGAGGGAGAAGCCGACTTCCTGCAGAGCAGGGAGCCCGATGCTGGGCTCAATCCCAGGACCCTGGGATCATGACCCGAGCCGAAGGCAGATGTTTAACGACTGAGCCACCCAGGCGCTCCCAGATTTTCCCTTATGGGAATCAGAGTCTCTCTTACGGGAATTTGGAGATAGGGTTGTCATTTGGGTCTCTAATTTTGACCTGAGGAAATACAAACTGGGTCTTGTGCTTGGAGAAGCAGAAAAAGTTATTTTGTAGAAAGAAGAAAAATAGGAAGAGAAAAACGGGACAGGTAGAGAAAGAATACTATCATAAGTTTTCAGCTTCAGTTTCTTCCCGAGGTTGTAATATGCCTGCCTTTGGGTTCTGTGATTCATCCTAAATCCTTTAAAATTTTTTTCCCTTTATTTATTAAGCTATTTCAGGTTAATTTACTGGGTAAGTGTCTTAGGCGCTGGGGATGTAGCAAAAAAAACAAAGCAAAGTCCCAGCCTCAAGGAGCTTACATTCTACCAGGAGGAAACAACAAATAAGCAAATACATGCTAGATGGTGTTGAGTCATCAAGTGGCTATGGGCTATCAGCAAAGGTCCCTCTGAGGAGGTAGCATTTGAGGAAAAGTCAGCAAGCAATGAAAATATCAGGGGTAAGAGCATTTCAGGCAGAGGGAAGAGCAAGTATAAAGACATTGAGACTAGATCCTACTTAGTGTGTTCAAAGGACATCAAGAAGTCTTTGGAGTGGGTGGAGAAGAGTGAGATGGACAGTGTGATTGACAAGGTCAGGGGTGTAAGAGATTGGGTAGGGCTCTGTAGGTCAAGGTAGAGTTAGGTTTTCCTCTGAATGGGAGTGGAAAACCTTGTAGGATTTAAAGGAGAAGAAAGACTGGTGTTTTAACAAAGGATGACTCAGTTGCCGTATTTAGGATAGACTGGGGTGTGGTGGAGGGCAGTAGAAAGGAGACCAGGTGAAAGATGGTGGTGGCTTAGACCAAGGTAGGCAGGGTGGGAGTTATCGGGGTTGGTCAGATCCTAGATATTTTTCTGAAAGAACTGGCAGGCTTTGCTGATGGATTATATGTAGGGTGTGAAAGAAATAAGGATGACTCCCAGGTGTTCGGCTTATAGGGTTGACAGGACTGAATTTCCATTTACTGAGACAGGGAAGACCCTGGGGGTAGAGTGGGGTTCAGGTTTGACGTATGAACTCTGTGGTGCCTATTAGACATCTAAATGGGGATAAATAGATATGGGTGCTCTCTGCAGTATTGTCAAGTATTTCCTACTGGGCTGTATTCTAGTACTAACGATCTGTAATTTAGTCTTGAATATTACAACTCAGGATTTTTCTTCCATCCTCCGATCACCTTCTCCATCAGACCCTGTTAGTGATCTAGATCTAAGTCGGTTGTTACTGGAACTTGGAATTGCTAGCTCACTTGAGTTTCAGAAGGATGAAAAAGAAGTTATATGTCGGTAGTTTAGAAAGTAGGTTAATATTTAAATGGAGAACTGAATTCAGCTCGCTCTGGTTTTTTATTTTTTGGTTTTTTTTTTTTTTTTGACAGTTGCTTTCACTTGCTAATTTCTGAGGCAAACAAGTGAAAGGATGAGTGAACTGGAGCAGTTGAGGCAGGAAGCGGAACAGCTTCGGAATCAGATCCAGGTAAGAGCAAAGTTTCTCATTTTGGAATTTTAACATTTTTATTTAGTACCAGCGATGAATAAGATGTGTTCATTATTGGATCAGTCTACATATATTAAATGTATCAGTCTTGAAGTGGTCAATTTGTTTTTATTGTACCTCTAAAGTACTCTCTAAAAATCATTCCTAACAAATATCTGTGTGGACTTATGACCTCTGTGTCCCTAAGAAGTTAATATTCTATATGTAATTCCTGCTGAAAGACAAACCTAATTCTCTTAGTCACACACCTGGAATCGTAGTTTGGTTTTTGGTGCAATATGATGAGGCAGATGTTATCACATTGTAATACACTAGAAAAATCTGAATCTCTATTAGATTGCAGAAAAACATTAGAAATTATTAGTGGCATAATAATGTCTGTCATCTTTTACTGTTGGAAATCAACTCAAAACAGCAAAGAACTTAAATACAAGTTCCATCTGACAACAAAATTAAAAGACACTTAGAACTTCACTCCAAGAATCGAACAGTGATGCATCAGGGTGTCAGAAGGCTCAGAGGGAGGGTTTCTGCAAAGTGGGTAGTACTCCCTCAGCAAAAACAGCAGTAATCCTCTGGAACAGTGGGAACAGATGTCTCCCTGGACGGAGGAATATCAAGGAAGATAGAGCTAAAAGATGGCATGTCTATATCCCTTCATGTTTAGGAAGCCTCTTGGAGAGCAGGGTAGAGGAAAGAGACTGAATTGTAGCCTGGCTCTGCCTCCTGACTGCAGAGAAAGCAAGGGCTGACACAGTAAGGGATACACATGAAGAACTTCAGCACAAAGCCAGAAGAATCCCTAATGGCTCGGAACACTGCTGGCCCCCCAACCCCGCAACCGTGAACTTTCTGCAAGAGCTGTTTCAGAAGAACTCCTCTGATTCGATGAGTGAAGAATGAGAAGAAAGGATTGAGCACAGGATATATACAAGGATATTACAAGAAAAGAGAGGAAAGGGGTGGAAAGAACAAAGGATGGCTGAAGAACACTCACCAAGAAAATGTTGATTCCGATTGGCTTGAAATCCTAAACCAAATCTCACTGCCAGGAATTCAAGGAAGTGGATGATTTAGATGTGAGTAAGAACTCTTGAGTTTGGTAGTTTAGATGTCTGACAAAGCTGTCAAAACAAAGGAGGGATTTATTTTGCCTGGAATGATGAGAGAAGGCTTCACAGAATAATCTCTGAAGTAGATGGTGCCAACACCAGAATGGATTCTCTGCCACCTCGGCTTTGTGTCACTTGCCCCAGAAGCTGAACAGGACAGACTGACTGGCTAAGCACGTGGTCACATGACCGTGTCATTTTAAAAAATGTTCTCTGTATAGATGAACTTGGATATTTATTTTTTTTGGATTGCATATAAATGAGATCCTATGGTGTTTGACTTTTTTCACTTAATGCTCACAGGATCCACCGTTGTTGGAAATGGCAAGATCTCATTTTCTTTTTATGGCTGAATAATATTCCTGTGCATGTGTAGGTACCACCTGTGTTTTCTTCTAGGAGTTTTATGGTTTCAGGTATTAAATTCAAGTGTTTAGTCCATCTTGAGTTTATTTTTGTGTATGGTATAAGACAGTGGTCCAGTTTCATTCTTCTGCTTGTGGCTGTCCAGTTCTCCCAACACCATTTATTAAAGAGAGTCTTTCCCCTGTTGTCATAAGTTAATTGACCATACATACATAGCTGTATTTCTGGGCTCTCTCTTCCATTGATCCATACGTCCATTTTTATGCTAATGCCATACTGTTTGATTACTGTGACTTTGTAATGCAGTTTGAGATCCGAGAGCGTGATGCCTCCGGTTCTGTTCTTTTGTCTCAAAATTTCTTTGGCTACTCAGGATCTTTTGCAGTTTCATACAGATTTTAGGATGTAAAATTGTATTTTTGTGAAAAATGCCATTTGAATTTTGATAGGGATTGCATTGCATCTGTAGCTTGCTTTGGGTAGTATGGACATTTTAACAGTATTCTTCCAATCCATGAGCATAGAATAGCTTTGCGTTGATTTGTGTCTTCAGTTTTTTTCATCAGTGTCTTAATAGTTTTCGGTATACAGGTCTTTCACCTCCTTGGTTAAATTTATCCCTAGGTGTTTTATTCTTTTTGATGCAGTTGTAGATGGGATTGTTTTCTTGATTTCTTTCTGATAGTTTTTAGTGTATAGAAAGGATAGATTTTTGTGTATCTTGTATGTATTTTGTATATCTTGCAGCTTTACTGAATTTATTTCTAATGGTTTTCTTTGTGGAGTCTTTAGGGTGTCCTATATATAATATCATGTCATCTGCTAATAGTGACAGTTTTATTTCTTCCTTTCCAATTTGGATGCCTTTATTCTTTCTCTTGCCTAATTGCTCTGGTGAGGACTTCCAGTAACATGTTGAATTAAAGTGGGGAGAGTGGATATCCTTGTCTTGTTCTGATGTTAGAGGATAAGCTTTCAGCTTTTCATTGTTGAGTGTGATGTTAGCTGTGGGCTTCTCATATAGGACCTTTATTATGTTGAGGCACACTTCCTCTGTACCCACTTTTTTTGAGAGTTTTTCTCATCAGTGGATGTTGAATTTTGTCAAATGCCTTTCTGCATGTTTTGAGATGAGCATACAGTTTTTATTTTTCATTTTGTTAATGTCCTGTATCATTGATTTGTGATGTTGAGCCATCCTTGCATCCCTGAAATAAGTCTCACTTGGTTATGGTGTGATTGTTTTAATGTATTGTTGACTTTGTTTTGCTGCCAATTTGTTGAGGATTTTTACATCTGTGTTCATCAGGGATATTGGTCTGTAATTTCCTTGTGGTGTCCTTGCCTGGAATGATTGGCCAAACACAGGGTCCCAGGCTAATCTCATTAATCCTCTTAGCAACCCTGTGAGGTAGATGGTGTTGCTTTGTTTCAAAGATGAGGAAACTGATCCTCAGTGAGATGAAATAACTTGCCAAGGTAACATAACTACAAAGTGGTAGCTCCAGGATTCAGGCCAGGTGTATATATATTTTTAAGATTTTATTTTATTTATTTATTTGAGAGAGAGAGCATGTGTGTGCACACAAGCTATGGGGAGGGGCAGAGGGAGAGGGAGAAGCAGACCCACCAAGCAGGGAGCTGGACACAGGGCTCAATCCCAGGACCCTGAGATCATGACCTGAGCCAAAGGCGGATGCTCACCTGACTGAGCCACCCAGGAGCCCCTCAGGCCGGGTATATTTTGACACCATATCCCATGCCCTCCCAGCCCTTCAGCCTGTGTTGTAGTCTGGTGGCTGTTCTTTGATCATGCGTTGCTCTTTCCCCCTTCATCGCCGTTTTACAAATGGTTTCCTTTGCCTAGGGTTATACTACCTTGGCTCCACTTTTTCTCCCGCGACTCCTCTTCGTTGAGTCCCAGTCCTCTGAAAAGCCTCACCAGAGTCCTGTACTTGGATTTATTCTCCTTTTATTGGAAGGCAGGCAGCATGGCATGGTGGAAAGTGCATGGGCTTCAGCTTTTCATTATTCTGTGGCCATGAGCAAGTTTTAACTTCTGTGATTCTTGATATCTTTCCTGTAAAGTGAGAATACCAGTGCCCACTGTGTAGGTTTGTGGAGAAGATCACGTGAAATGACGTGCATAGGACTTACCAGTAAATGGTAGCTCCTTACTCATACAGCACTTTGGATTTGTGTTACAGGGTTGATCACAGCTGGCCTTGTGTTGTGGTTCCTTGTGCGCGTTTGCCTCTGCTACTTGTACTTGGATGGAAAATTCTGTGTCCTAATCATTCTTTGTAGCTCACCAGCATCCCAAACACAATTGCGTGGGTGCAGGTGCTCAACATTCCTCTCCCATGATTTCAAGTAACCACATGTATGTAAGGTGCCATGTACTTTATTTCTCCATTTAATCATGTCATGCTATATTTAAAGACCCTCCCTCTCTTTCTCCCTCGCTTCTAAAATATAATCTAACTGTGTACTTCACTGTGGTGTAAACACCTGAGAAATGTATGGAATCTTATGCAGTATTTTTAAATATTTTAAATTAAACAGAAGTAGAGGAAACAGACTTTTCTTTCGTAATTGTTATTTTTTTCTCTTTTCACTTTTCTCTTACACAAAGATGTCTTAGATTATGGTGGACAATATGGACTTCAGCCTTTAATTGGGAATAATTTTATATTCAGTTTTATAATGGATAAGTGTCATAAGAGTAAATTCTGCATGTGAATAGAATCTTTTCATGATTTGCACGTAACTGCTATTTGTAGAATGCTTATATTCCAGCGTTTTAATTTTTACCGATTTGCACTAGTCAATAGTTTTCACTTACAGTTTAATTGTCCCGTTAATATTACAAGCCCTCTGAGGGCTGGCCTGTCTGGTTTGCTGCTGTAACTGTTATGCCCAGAACAGAACCTGACACAGATTGTGGTGTTTTTTTTAATTGAATAACTGAATTAAGAAAGATGACCTAAACAATGATAGTTCATTTTCACAAAGCTTAAAATCAGAAAACCCTGTTTTTAGAATGTGGCTCAGGCCATCACTGTCGTTTCTGGAAATTCTTTTCATTGTAGGAAACTGGACCCAATTATTCCTTGCCAAATGAGGTTTGACTAAGAATGAGAGAATCAGATCATATGTTTGTGTAACTACTTATGAATAGCCTTACATAGAAATATTGTAAGTGTTATAAATAGGTTGAAGGGCAGTTAAAAGGTTCGTGTATTCCATGTAGTCTTAGCCGCAAGCGGGGAGGTAGGCATTTTTCCCTCGGCTGATGGGACAAGTTGTCCATTTGGGGCATTTATTTAACAACTGTGTGCTTCCTCTGGGCGGCAGGAGTATGCTGAGCGCAGTAGGGAAGAAGAGTTGAAGAGGATACTACCCTGACTTTTGAGAGGGGGAAAAATTGTTTCAAGTCTATTAGGAAGAATTGTGCTTTTGATTTTCCCATGTTATATGCATCCTCTCAATTTATTGAGAACCCCGGTTTAAAACCTCTTGTTGCTTATTAAATGTTATTTTGTTCTATCGATTTCTGTTCACTATTATCTTCTTTCTGATAATTCCCTTCAGATTGTGGAAAAATTTAAGGTCTCTTTGAAAGGCTGTCCTGTAATGCTTAAACATAAATACCTGCTTACATGTAAGGACCTTGCTATTAATGTATAGATGTGACTCAGAGCTGTTACCTGTTACATAAATTGTTTTCCTGATGTATCCTATCTTTTCCTCATTGGATCTAAAATATTGTATTTCTGATTGCAAGTACACTGTATACAGATACTACGCATTTTAAAGAAGTGCTTATATATTTGTAAAAATATTTCTGAAATGACCTGGGTATGCTATAAATATCCTTCCTATCACCTCAACTTCTAGATGCCAGAACAAACCAAAAGGGAACTCTGAAGCTTTTTGCTGAAGCTTAGTAACAAATATAACTGAATACTGTGGGCTTATTAAATCAACCTAGTTCATTTTTACTCATGGGGATGAAATTTAAAATCTTTTAATCATAAACCAGAAGTATATTTGCACAATGGAATAGAATTGAGAGTCCCTAAATGAACCCATGTATCTAGGGCCGATTGTTTTTTGTTTTTTGTTTTTTGTTTTTTTTCCCAACGAGGATAACAAGACCATTTGAGAGGGAGAGAACAGTCTTTTCAACAGATGGTGCTTGGACAACTGGATATCTACATGCAAAAGAATGAATTTGGACTCCTACCTCATACCATTTATAAAAATTAACTGAAAATAGTACCTAAATATAAACGCTAAAAGTGTAAAAATTTAGGGGTGCCTGGGTAGCACAGTTTGGTTAAGCGTCCAACTCCTGGTTTTGGCTTGGGTCATGATCTCGGGGTTCTGGGATGGAGCCCCACATCAGGCTTCTTGCTCAGGTGGAGTCTGTGGAGTCTGCTTGAGATTCTCTCTCTCTCTCTGCCCCTCCCACTCGTGCTGTCTCTTTCTCTCTCAAATAAATAAAATCTTTAAAAAAAAAAAAAAGTAAAAATTTTAGAACTAAACATAAGCTGTTAATCTTTGTGACCTTGGATTCAGCAGCAGTTTAATATGACACTGAAAGCCCAAGCAACCGAAGAAGTAAAAACTTCTGTAAGGAC